ATATGGCGACAAAGATGAGGACAATAGTCCGAATAATGTAAATAGTGTACATAATACCTCATCTCAGATAGATAGATAGATAGATAATTTAAAAATTTTACAATGCTTACCTAAACCGACCAAAAGTTTCTTGATGTTAACGTTCCTAAGGGTCGATTATTTCGACCATAAAATTTTAGTCGGTTGAGATAAATATCTCGACCTTTTTTATTTATTGATAATAATTATTACTCTATATCTGTTAAGCAATCTTACTGACAAAATTCTGCTCGCCTTAATGTATTTCTCACATGCTTTTCGGTGTAAATAGTTGAAAGATCAACACAAGCTTTTATCGAGATACTCTTCTTGACCAAATCAACATAATTTTGAAATTCAATGCAGTTTTGCTGCTTGATAAATTTATTTTGAATCAAGGTCACAATCGTGAGACACCCAGTTGGGATCGAACTCATAATTAATGATCTACAAATCTAGCTTGCTGACCATTGCATCACAACGAGGAATCAAAAGAAGCCGAACTGATCTACAATTCGAAAGTTTTTAAGCTGAAAAATATTGCACATCATCACAAAATATTATTATTTGTATAAAATTAATATTGTACAACTAAAATGATATAAAATATTATCTGTATAAAACTAAAATTATACAAGTAATATGGTATAAAATATTATTATCTGCATAAAACTAATATTTTACAACTAAAATGGTATAAAATATTATTATCTGTATAAAACTAATATTATACAACTAATATGGTATAAAATATTATTATCTGCATAAAACTAATATTATACAACTAATATGGTTTAAAATATTATTACCTGTATAAAACTAATATTGTACAACTAAGATGATATAAAATATTATCTGTATAAAAATAATATTGTACAACTAATGTGATGTAAAATAGTATCAGTATAACACTAATATTGTACAGCTAAAATGAATTGTAATATTCTAAGACGTTAATAACAAAGAACTTTTTCTATAAGTTCTCTTGTCCATTATAATTTTTTTCTTGTCGACAAAACAATCATTTCAGTCTCAACACTAACCGGTTTTGGTAAATATGCACTTAATTAAAAAGCGAATAAATGAAGACAATATGAAAATATTAGTTTTTAACCGAATGTACGGAATTTCATCGACCCCTAATATTTTAAAAAGAATTTTGAATTTTTGTGTGTAGAACGTGCCGATTTTTGTACATACGGACGCCATACACGTCATTATTAGAAAATAAGAGTGATAACTATAGTAAATTTAACGCCAAAGTAACTAAAATTCAATAAAATATTAGATTACGGGAATATTTTCATAAATTTTAAGATAGCTAGGTAGTTACAAATTATATAAAAATGTGCTCACTTTATATTCCTCAAGTAATGTTTATCCACAGAAATAATAAAAGCAAAGTATTTTATTTATTGGAAATATTAAATTTAACCTATTTACTTGAAATTAAAACTAAAATAAAAACATCAAGAAATATTTTTCATTTGTAAAAATTCATTTTAAACCATAGGTATCACATTTCTGTGGAAGTACCTACACTAAAGTAATTCGTATAATTTTGAATCATTTCAAAGCTTTTTGATGGAACTGATCTTAATTCAAGCTGGTCCCGTAACACTTCGTATTCATTTGCCACTGCTCCAGTGACAGTGAGTAGAACCTTTATGCGCTGTTATTTTGAGATGTTAATAGAACTGTTAGATGTTTACTCTTTGTCTCAGTTGAGGAATGCTTACCTTTCAATGACAAATCAGTTTCTACGATATTCCAGCTTCACCATGATAAACATGGGTATAAATATTTTCGTATGACTTTTGATTTTATACAACAGAAGGGACAACATACAAAGGCTCGACATTTATCTGATGTCACTCCATTTGCTATTTTTTAGATTATCTCTACAGAGATGATCTCTATGTAGATGTGTATATGCATACACTGACATATTGATTGAATGATCAGTGAATATGTGTATATCAATTTTTAACATACAACGTGTGTTAGCACGTGCAATACACTGTCTTCATCAGCCGCCGACCAGGGGTGATATCATGGTTTCGGTGGCTATGGCGGGACTGCCACCCCTGGCGCCACCAGAAAGCGTTTACCACCAGACAGGGGATGAAAATAAGCTAATTGATCGTTTCTCTTTGTAAATGCTCGTAATGAAATAAACAAATCGATTGTTCCTCTTTGCAGCTTCTATCCGTAATGAAAGTTTGCATATGTGCATATATAAATATAAAGATAAAAGTAACTCGAACAACGATATTAATATTCAATTAATTAATATATACAGAGTGTCCATAAAGTTCGTGTGCACTTTAAAAAAGTATGACTTTATTTATATTTGCGATAGAAATAATCTGTAAAAAATGTTATAAAATTTAATGGACCTAGTTTTAAGTATAGCTAAAATAACTAATGGGATTTCAGGCATTACGGAAATGCTTTCCATCAACTGCAAAATCGTATTACCCTTTGTATTGCTAATGATGGAGGACATGTGGAAACTTTAATAAAATTTCAATAAAACCTTAAAAAATATACTTCTTTCTAATGCTTTTTACAGATTATTTCTATCGCAAATACAAATAAAGTTATAATTTTTTAAAATTGCACACGAACTTTATGGACACCTTGTATTAAGATTTAATTAAAAGTTTTATTAATATGTCTATGTTTATTTACCTGATCATCATTATTTCTTTTAAAGAAGATGTGAATAAATATCGAAATAATAAGACAACCCAAGAATTTTACTTGTCAATAGAATATTGATTATTTACATGTTTTCCATGTTATCTTTATCCTTTATTTGTTTGAATGTTAATAATATTGATAAACTACAGGCTTGTTTTTCAGATTTACTCATGGGTTTATATCTTTAAATTGTCTGAGGAGCATAATTTTGATATCTTAAATGAATAATTAATAATTTATCCAATCAATTATTTAAAACTATCAGCACATTTATTGTGGTAAGTGGTAAATATTTTTCTTTAAGGTTTTCCTAATTAATAAGGACAACTTTCGTTAAATGCTAATAGCGTGTAATGTTGATTTTGAGCGTCCAATTATGTTTTACTGGTTAAACTATTTTCTTTTGAATTTGTGACACGTTTTTAAGTGGACACTTGTTTTGTTGAGTTAGTTATTGTTGTTTTTTTTTGTTTTGTTTTGTTTTATTTTTGTTTTTTTTGGGTTTTTTTTGTTTGTTATTTTTGGTTTTGTTTTGTTTTTTTGGTAGTGGATGCTAGCAAGACAATCATAAGATTTGGTATTTACCCGAGCACCCCACACAGCTTGATGTGGCACAAGGCCGGTTTAACGTGGGTTTTTCTGAGTAAAAATTTCCCGTAGTTTGTCCCGGGTTTGTCTACCTCCCCAGACGAGACTCTGTCCTTCGACAAACACTAAGAGTTTAGCGCACGCCTAATCAGTCAGTCAGTTATATATGCCATGTGTGATACACGCTTAGGCGATCATGTATCTTTCGATACATGACTGACGAGGCAGATTTTTTTTCCCGCAGTAGGTTGCCATTTCTTCCTACGGTAGACAAGTTGCCATCCAAGGATACAGAATCCAGTCTGTCCTGCTATTTACCCACAGAAGAAGTTTCATACCTTTCCCAGGGTTATTTAGCACGTAAATGAATGTAATGGATTCGACTGGAATTCGAACTCGGCTCTCCGATTCCTCAACCCGAGCTGATATCCATTACTCCTCAGAAGCCTAATGCTAATTCTAAATTTTCTAAGGGTAGCTTAGATGTGGCACAAGGACGAAAGTATGGGGCACTCAGTAAGGATTGAACTCGCTATTCAGTCGTAACTGTTTTAGCTAGACACGTTTGCTAACCTATTATACCACGTCGATAAGATTTCGTAAGAGAAAGATCTTCATACGGATCACGTAATGCCCCTTTGACATTTACAAATTCACTGAATCAAAAATTTCTAATCATCGTAGATAACAGCTGTTTTTCGATTTTGACTTCTGTTGATATAATTCCCATTGGTATTACTATTCATCATGGATTTTTACAAGTTTCAACAGAAGCAAGATGAGGTTGTGCCATATTTTCTGTAAATCTTGGGGTTTGGTTAGATCTTCAGATGTTAAAATATGAATGCATTTAATTGAAATTAAAAAAAGACTTAGTTTTTTTTTTTTTAATTCCTTATTAGAATTTTTTTAAATAGTAAAAACATGGAAACATTTTATTCACTTTTCATTTTCAATTTTTTTCAACTAAAATGTAAAGATGCACGCAAACAAAAATAACAGTCACTGCTTATACTTTTTAAAGCAATTTCTTTTTTAATGACTAGTATATATATTTACAAGTGTTAATCGATATATATTGGAGAGATTGTAAAATTTCATTACCTTTCTGTCTCTGTTTTCTTGTCAAATAATAATAATAATAATTTGACTTTAGCAATTACGCTAATGATTATTTTGTTGCAATTCTAAATAAAGATTTTTATTTAATGTTTCCTTTGTTTCAAAATTCGCTAAAACAAATATATTATTTTAACAGTTTACATAGTAAATAATTCTTTATGCAAGAAAACTTTCTGAAAATGCAGTTCAGATTGAAATACTTCCATTTTATTTTCAAGTCATTTTCAAAATAGTCTTTTTTTTCATTATTTATTGTTTTCGCTTCCAATTATTTCGATGTTAAAGATACAACACTCCTATCCTTAACTTATTAAAATTAAATTATTAAAAACTTCAGTTAATTCACAAAAAAAATAAATTTTATTTCTAAGACGACTTAATAACTGGAAGTAAGATTAATAATCATTTAATAAATTATTTGTTGCTTGGAACTTTTTTTTTTTAAATGCTGTTCTCATATGATAAAATGCATTTCCTGTACCGCTTGAATGTCATGGTGCAAGTGAGTTGAGATCTTGTTTTTATAAGCAGTATTAATATTCTTAATAGTAAATAGTTTATGTTGG